CATTTCATTTATCTATGAAAATGTGTATTTCAATTTTTAGAAGTTAGTGATGGTATATTTTTTATGAAATATGAAATATTTGGGTGTTATTAATGTTTATGAAATAGCAATAAACATACCCAATTTTCATGCATTATACTATGTTTTAAAAGCAATGAATTATTATGTGCTCTGAGCCTTGCATGTCCATAAGACTACCTATTGCGCACATGTATGGTTTGAATAACGTGTTATAAGCAAGAAAATATTATGTGCAAACAATAGTGAAGCTTCGTGCGGAGGTCAATTCAAGATTACCACATGTCAAATAATATTTTTCTCTAAAAAATTCAAAAGAAATGGTGCGGACTACGCGTTCTGACCAGACATGACTGGAAAATAACATTAATTTCTAAAATACAAAGCATGAGGTTTTAGGAGCTCGGGCTCCTTGATGTTTTTGATTTTGCAATGGTTTAGAGATCGGCGTTTTCTCCCATGCACTCAAGATTCCTGAAAGTTTCAAGGGATTGGGTTCGACATTTTGTCCCCTATGATCGATATTTCTTTGTTCTCCCAAGGCCAGGCTTCGGGATTTTCTCCCACTATTCAATTTATTTCTTTATTCATGCTAGCCGACATTCATCTTAGGGCTCCACTTGTCTCCATGTCTCCCAGGTTAGCAATGAAGAAGAGGCTATGATTCAAAATATAACATAGATAGTTATGTGTTTAATAATTCCCTTTCTTATTGGGTAAGTAAATCCATAAATAGGGTTAGAAATATGACTCCATAATTGTTATAAAGAAAAAAAGATTTTTTTTTAGTTCAATAAAAAAGTTTTTTTATAAATTTTATGGCGCATTTTCTTCAAGTACAACAATTTTATATTCGTCTTATATATGTTTTATTGAATATAAACATCTTGAAATGATGTTTTTCTTTGGTTAATCTCAACAATTTCATAGATTGGCCTAGCTGTTTTCCTTTATATATATATATATTATGTACTCCAATTTTTTTATAGTTTTATTGTACATGGATGTCTAGTTTTCTTTAATGCAACCGTGTTAATATCTTTTTTTTAGTTTTATTGTTTTTTGTATAACCATTAAACTCATGTGCATTTTATATAAAATTTGAATTGAAAACATGATGTGTTTTTAGAAATATCATGTTTCAGCATTTTGTTTCTTTTTCTCTGTAAAACTATGTTGTTTATGGTTGTTTCTGTCTTTTTTGTTTGATTTTTTTCTTCAGTACAACATACATGGTTGTACCTAAGTATTTTTTTGTCTAGTTTTATTATTTATGTATAACCATGAATTTGTTCTGTATTTTATATAAATTTTGAATTGAAAACAAGATGATTAATTCAGAAATACTATGCTTTAGTGTACTATTTTTTTCTTGTGTACAATTATGTTGTACATTATTGTACCTGTGAATTTTTTATCTAGTTTTTTCTTTCTTCGGCACAGTCTTGTTGGACATGATTATATCGAGTATTTTTTTTTCTAGTTTTATGATTTATGTACAACCATGAATTTCATGTATTTTTTATATATATTTTGAATTAAAAATACAATATTTTATTCACAAGTATTAAGTTTTAGCACACTATTTACTTTTTTTTTCTTTCTGTTAATGTTTCTTTTTTTCATATGTACAACCATGTTGTACATGATTGTATCTGTGATTTTTTGTCTGATTATTTCTTTCTTCAGTATAACTATGTTGTACATTGTTGTACCGATTTTTTTTTTGTTTATTATTTTAAGTTTTTATATAAATTTTGAATTGAAAATACAACGACTTATTTAGAAGTATCATGTTTTAGCATCATCTTTTCTTTTTTTCTATACATTTGATGTGTTTGTCTGGTTCTTTTTTTTTTCAGTATAATTATGTTGCATATGGTTGTACCGAATATTTTTTTTCTGGTTTTATCATTTTTTTGTACAATCATAAATTTCGTGTGCTTTTTATATAAATTTTGAATTGAAAACATGATGTTTTATTGAGAAATATCAATTTTTAGCACATTTTATACTTTTTTTTTCTTTTATAAAATTAGGTTGTACATGATTGTACCTATGATTTTTTGTCTAGTTCTTTCTTTCTTCACTATATTAATATTGTACATGATTGTATCAAGTATTTTTTTTATTTTATTCTTTTATGTACAATCATGAAATTCATGTGCATTTTATATAAATTTTGAATTGAGAATACGATGATTTATTCAGAAACATCATGATTTAGCGCTACGCTTGTTTTTTTTCTTCTGTACAATCATGCTGTAAATAATTGTATCAAGTATTTTTTGTTCTAGTTTTATCGTTGTATGTAAAATCTTGAATTTCCTGTGTTTTTTTGTATAAATTTTGAATTGAAAATGCGATTTTTTATTCAGAAATATCATTTTTTAACTTCTTGTTTTTTTTTCTTCAACAGTGTTGTACGTAATTTTCTTGTCATGTTATTTCTTTCTTGAGTACAATCATGTTGTTATGATTGTAACGGGTAATTTTTTTTCTGGTTTTGTTGCTTTATGTACAACCATGAATTTCTTGTGCATTTTATATAAATTTTGAATAAAAAATACAATAATTTATTCAAAAGTATCATCTTTAAGCATCATGTTTTCTTTTTTTCTTTTATACAACCATATTGTGTATGGTTGTACTAGTGAATTTTTTGTCTGGTTCTTTCTTTCTTCAATAAAATAGAGTTGTACATAGTTGTATCGAGTACTTTTTTTATTTTATTGTTTTATATGCAAACATGAATTTTCTTTGCAATTTATATAATTTTTAAACTAAAAACACAATGATTTATCTAGAAATATCATGTTTTAGTGTCATCTTTATTTTTTTTCTATACACAACCATGGTCTACATGATTTTACTCGTGAAGTTTTTGTCGAGTTCTTTTTTTTGTTAGTACAATCTTGTTGTACATGATTATACACAAACTTTTGTGAAGTACAATGATGTTGTTGTTATTGTATTTTCATACAGCATAAATTATGAAAAATTTCCTTGCTATTTTCTTTACCTTTAGCCTTGTAAACAAGATAGTTTTGTAATGAAATCATATTTAAATCAACATTTCAACTATTCATTTGCTTTTTGACAAAAAGAAAATATTACAGCGCGGTACCGCACCACGGCCCCAAACACACCCCTAGTAAGCAGCTCATAAGCTTTAGTTTTGAATGAATGTATTTTGATCAAATTTTTGTTATGACAGATTTTAAATTTATTTTAAATTATTTTGAGATAAGTTCAATTATAATTTGAACATTGCACTCTATCTTAAAGATAAGCTGACCAATTTAAAATTATTAAGATAAAATTTCTATTAGGATACCTTAACCAAGGTTTTCCCTATCTTAAATTCCCTCTACTCTACTTAAATTGATTTTTTTATTATCTATTTAATGTTCTTTTATATGTTATTAATATATCACAACACCTATTTGAAGTGAAATCCGCAATCTCTCTTTTTCTATATATATATATATATATATATATATATAAG